GTTGCTCATAATCATATTTGAGAGGCGGTAATTACCGTCTGAGCTCACAAACTCTGTCCCGAAGTACCACTCACCCTGAGGCAAGTCTGTGCACTTTTTGTATAGTATAATTGAAATACAAATGACAAGTTAATGCCCCCGTATATAGTCACAATTAGGTGGGAGAATCCACTTTGACTGTGTAAACTTGGGCCATTTCCAAAATGTTTCACGTGGGAATTTTTTTTTTTTTTACCTCTGTGCATGATCTGGTGCTTCTCCCGCAGGTAGGCCAAACCTCTCAACACCTAGTGAACAACAATAACACAGACATAAACAGCTGTTCGAAACAACAGGACTGCATGTCAAAGCCATTTGTCACGAACCCTGTGGTCAAAATGATTTGAATAAAGAAACTCGGAATACATACAGCTATGCTAACTTTGCCCAAGACTTCCTCTGGAATTCTTCTGGCTTCCTTCAGAACCTGGTCCAAAGATCCACCATCCTATAGCGAAAAGACACCTAAGTATCCAGAATATAAGCCTAAACATGCGACAGCCATGTGTAAACGAGTCTCACCATGTGCTCCATACAAATGCTGATCTCGCCGTCGCTGTAGAAGGCGCCGTAGAAGCCCACGATATATGGTGAGTTGCACTTGTGTAGGACTTGAAGCTCTCTGATGATCTGGTTCCTAATGGCGGGCTTAATTTCCAAGTGGATCAACTGAGACAGAGAGGAAGCAGGTTAATGCAATAAGAAGAAGGGGGGAAATTGGCCGATGGCGACTATGTGTTTGCCCATCTGCATCATACAATGGCAAAAAAAAAAAAAAGTCTTTGTAGTCTCTCTTTTCCCGATACTGATAGAAAAGATACTGAAGAAATCTTTCACAATGGAAATGCCCACCTGTACATTTAAACAAGCAAACCAACATGAATTTATTTTGGGTAATGACTCTGAGGCATTCTATAAACACACAATCATATAAAACGGTCACATAGCGATAAACAGAGAAGAGTTTGACAATCAAGTGACCCAGAAAGCCACAGTAATATTTCACGTGGTATAATGCCTATGCACATTGTACTGTTTGTGTACATGTTGCCATCAGGTAATAGTGAGCCCCAAGGGTCTGAATGTTAATGTTTATTAATTTAATCTTAAGGTGAAGAGAGAGAGAGAGAGAGAGAGAGAGAGAGAGAGAGAGAGAGAGAGAGAGAGAGAGAGAGAGAGAGAGAGAGATTTTTCCCCCCCCAGAGTTGTCATTTTAACACCATGAAACAGCGATAATTTTGCTCATGGTTATCATACATCAGAATTTCAGATCAGCCCATGCCCACTACCGAGGGGAAAGTCTGGTCTGGACTAAGAAAGGTGGGCTGTTCACCTGCAAGCCAAACTGTCCATGTTCACTCATCCTCACCTTGCGAGCCATGACCAGACCCGAGGGCTTGTGGCGAACCTTGTTGACTACCCCTCCGTTCCCGGCGCCCAACTCGCAGATTGGGTCAAAGTCCTCATCCTTGAGCTCTCCAACCTGCGCTTTCTGGGTGAGGAAGGCTTCTAGTCGCATCTTCTGTTGCTCATCCAGGTCCAGCTCTCCCAGCTTCTTTTGTAAGGCCTCAAGGTTTGCTCTGTAAGGAGACCAGTATTGTTTTGAAAAAGCCTCAGCTACCTATTTTCTGTAGTGCTTGTCCTAGTTAGAGGCACAAGTAGGCTGAAGTCCATCCCAGCTGACTTAAGGTGAGAAGCAGGGTCCAGCCTAGTCTGGTTGTCAGTCAATCGCAGGGTACATCAAGACATTCAAACTTATATTATAGCGTCAATATCAAGGACATCTTCCAAGCCTGTGATCCGAATCCAGCCGGCAATATCATTTTAAGTGGCTGTCTTAATATGTCAATCGTATAGACGTTTTCTTAGTCTCGACTCAGTTTCTACTTACATGTGGCCTTCAACAACCTTGCCAGTTTCTTATATGGCCCCTTTGAAAAAATTAATTTCCCACCCCTGCGATAGTGATACATGTGCTCCTGTAGTAGAACACAAAAGAATCAGGGCCCAAGTACAGTTCAGTTGTATTTAACATCATTCACAACTACTGTATATTAAGGTCATGATGGAGAACTAAGTTATGCTTTTTAGGTGGACTTGGTAGAAAACGTTTGAGTTTGATTCCCCCGATATAGTGTGTGACATGAAGCAGATATGAATGTTTTTGAAATGTGGGAGGAAACCGCAGTACCCGGTGAAAGCATGCAAACACAGCAAAACCGGAGCTGAGAACCACAGAACTGCGAGGCAGACGTGCCAACCACTCTTACGCAAAGAAACACACTGTAGAACAGATTTTGGAATCATTGTCATAGTACTCACTCAGATGCAGCATCAGTGGTGTTAGAGGTGGGCTGCCCTTCTCCAATGGGCGTTATATTCAACGGAACCGGTCTTTTTTTGGGGGCCATCTCAGAAGGAGAAGAAAAACTTGTGGAAATCCCAAAATTTGTCCAGAAAATGCACTTAAGTGCACCGGGGCGAGCAGCTGTGGCAAAGTGGCCCTTTACTTCTTCGCTAGCGAGCAACAGGATCGCGTCGTGGTGGCTAACGACTTAGCTGGCTAACGTCAGCGAAAAGATGACACTTCATGAGCCCTGGTACTCGAATATTTGGCTAAAACGTGACATACCAAGGAGTTTCTAATGAACGGATCTTTTCAATGTGTTTATAGAAGTTGAGATTAGCGCATTGCTGTCAGTGGACGCTTCTTATCGGGGTTATCTACCTGCTCCTAGCCATTAGCCACCTCGCTAGTGCTACCGGAAAAAGGAAGCCGCGACGACTCAGCGGCTCGCCACGTTTTTCCCCCCGTTTAAATGACGGCAGCACCGGGGGGCGGCTGCTGGTGGTCGTCTGGCGTCCCTCCGTAAAGTTACAATCGGGCTGTGGGGGGGGGGGGAAGGCCACTGTGGCCGGGGGGCAGGGCTGCAGGGCTTTCGTCTGTGACTGGTGGTAGTAGTGGTGTTGGTTCCGTCAATACAGGAAGCAGCAGACCCGAGTGACACCCTCAGGGAGAGCCCGTCACTTCAACGAGAGTACCGGGTCCAATTTGAAAGATCTTCAAGAGAAAAAAAATCAAGATTAAAAAACAATAATCCCACAACGAAATACTGGAATCGCACGCTTTAGGTCATCATAACCGGACGACGCGGCTTTCTCTACAGTTTATAAGCAAGTCAATGCCATGTGCACATTACTGCCACCCAGTGGCCATATATGGAGACCGAAGACTAGAAGAGAAAAGAGTTTAGTTTATTAAACCACAATCTAAACTCAGCCCCCCCCCCCCAGCGCCACCCATTGAAATTAATGTAGTTGCTATTACTGTAATCCGTACCAGCCGCTCAACCCCCCACCCCCAAAATGTGTAATGTTTTTAGTAACTCAACTGGATTTTATTCAAAAAGTACTCTCAAAACAACCGAATACAAAGTGCTGTGCGTCAAGTAAAAACCATCCCTCCATTCCTTTCATTATCCGAACCACTTATCTTCAAGGACATATGAAACCAAAGAGTGTTAAAACAATAAATTCATAACAAAAAGACAGTCACACAATAAAACACTAAAAAAATGCAAAGTAACAAACCGGATCAACCCCCCCCCCCAAAAAAGGGTTGAGTTTTAAAGACGAGTTTTAGAGATCGACACAGTGGGGACTTGCCTAAAGTCATTTCAAAGGTCGAGCTCCTCTGAAGTCTCAGTACCTCCCCAGTAGTGTCAGGTGCGCTGACCTGAGGTATAGGCCAGGAACGGCTCCAGGATTTCTTTTGTTTCTTGGAGCTAAAAGGGGGCTTGACCGATATACAAGGGGGGGGGGCTAAGAAAATAATTTGTAAACGGGTTTAACTGGGGCTTCACAGATTTCTGAGGGGGCTGTCGGGGACATAGATCTGACTGTCACTTGCATAGCGGTGAAAGGAAATACCATACTTTCTTAAGATGAATCCTAGGGGCAGCAAATACAATGAAAACAGCAGGGGCCTCAAAGGTGAACCCTGTGGAACATAATAAAACACAATTAAATGTAACTCATTAAAGAGTTTATGCATCGTGATTGACTCATTTCAGCTTCTTGTGTGCGAGCTTCACACCTACTGCAAATGACTTGGTCAGGTGCAGTAATATTAGTTATTCTTCACATATGCTTATTGGGTTCTAACTCAGCTGGCATTAAAATAGCCAACATTAAGGTAAAGTTGTGTGGTTCCTCTAAATACACAAGGTGTCATTCACATTGTTTCATGTTTAGTTTGACAGTCAACCAACGGAAAGTGGCAATAAATATCTCAGAACTTTTTTCGGAAATCAGCTTGATGCTTGTATCTTTGGGGAAAAAAAAAGTTTTGTTTTATGTCTCTCCCATTACAACTTTTTCTCTCATAATATTGCAATATTATTTCCATTAACATAACGTTCAGTTTTTTCTTCTAACCTTGACTTTCTATACATTTTCTTCCCCCAGTACGATATTTTTGAAATATTACATTAGTCTTCTCACAATTTGACTTGTGTAAAGTCCTAGTATTCTCATGAAGCTGCAATTTGTTGACACATGGAGGTAATATACATGTTACAGTAAAATTTATTGTAGTTTTGATCACGTAAACCAAGGATTGGAGACTTTTTTTAAAAGTTTCTATGAGACTGTAGTTGTATTTAGAATAAGGGGCCGGGGAATCAGACAATAAAATACACATCACACATCTGAACCACAACAAAAAAACCCTCACACATTTTAAAGAACTTGACTTTAATTCCATACATCAATTAACAGCTGTTAGAATTTGATCATTGTTCAATTGTACAATCGTATCCTGAAGACTGAGCATCTGGAATTGAACCACAGACCCTTTTAGTACTCACATATCACCATCATCAGGTATCCAATCCCGATTCTTCCCTTCTGGTTTTGCCTGTCGGAACAACTGGAAACAATTCGAGGCGTAATAATAAAAATATCATTTACATTTTATTGACTTTTAATATGAACATATAAAAAAAAAAAACAACAACAAAAACATTTACATCATGGATTGTAAGCATCTGTCCATGCTACCTTATGCATTTAACATAAGAGATGCCACAACATACTGTAGTCATAACCAGACACTCGGCCCTCGTACTCAACCTCACCCCCTATCAAAAAAAAAAAAAAAAAAAAAAAAAAAAAAGGGGCCTCTGGCTCAGTTCCATAGAAGCAAACCTACACCTGTGGGACCTCCAATAACCTGTAGACAGATTATGAGGAGTGTGGGCAAGAAAACAAGTTGGAAGACCAGATTTAGCTCAACGTACAACCAAAATTCAAGCTGCAGAGTATCAACGAGATTCCCGTGCTAAGCGCAGCGAGACAATATTCTGGTCCTTGTGCTGTTGCAGGTGTTTGGATGGATACTCACTACACAATGGCTTTAAAGTCATAAACAAAAAGTGTGCAAACGACTCCGGGCCCCAAATTAAAAAGTCCGATCCAAACTGAACTGAAGAGGACGTTGCTCGTGTTTACCGACATGTTATATTAGTCAATTGAAACCCACTGCAAAATAGCAAAGTCATATTAATAAGATAGCTGAATGTCCAAACTGCACACAAGATTCAATAATTGAATGATGCAATCGAGTAGACGTGGTGTAAGCGCAGGGAAAGGGGCAGATAACAGCATTTGTGAATAATTTATATCCTTCCGCATAAAGGGGAACAAGCACAGCAGAGCGGCTTCTCTTCTGCTAACTGAACAGCCAAAGGCTGCCATACTTCAACCATTTCCTGAAACGGGATCTCCCAAGTAGAAGCCAGACGACAGCACTGATTCCACTCAAGATGAACTGCATAGAACAATGGAAATTAAAAAAGACAAAGGGGGAAAAAAAAATCTCCAGTGTAAAATGGGCGTCAGAAAATCTGTCCTTTACTCGTTCTCCGATCAGTCTGCTGTGTGTAATGACTGAGGTAGGTTTTTATTTAAAGATCTAAAAACTGCAAAATAAAATACGTAAATGGAAAGCATCACGCATCCAGATCAGTGATGTACTTTAAATTAAAATGGATCCAATCTTAACACAAAAAAAACATGCCATAGGAGAGGTTTGCATCACGTTCAGATTATTCTTTTGCCATTTATTTTCTTTTTTTCCACCTTTTTGGGGGGAGGGGGGGAGTCAAGTAAAAAGTGTTCTTTACAATAACGTATCGCAGCCCATTCGTCCAAACACGGCATTCAGAGTAATAGTGCATTTGCGGAATTAAGCAGCGAAATATACTTTTTTTTTTTTTAAATCCACCTCAGGAGGGAGTCATGTTGGCACTTTGTGTCGACTAAAAAGGACATCACAGCTGATCAAGGCTCAAGTACCGACCAACCACACAGCTCACATGTTTTCTAAGTTTGGTCATGGGACAAGCTGAGCTGTGATTGATCATTACCTGATCCCTGAAGCAACTGTGACGTCATTTTCAGTCAACAGCAGCAACTGTGATGTCATTTTCAGTCAACAGCAAGTGGCAAAATGGCCACGCAGACATGGATGAGTATTTTGCTGCTTAATTCATTTTCCATGAACGCAATATTAATCAGAGAATGGTGTTTACACTTGTGGGGCCGCATACAACATAGTGTAAATATTTGACTTGACTTCCCCTTTCACTGAGAAGCGCAGACAGCTCAAATGTGCCAAAAAAAACGAATGCACGGTGGCGTGAACAGCTTTTTGTTCCTGGTCAGACAGCAAAGATGACGACGTCCATCGAGAAAAAGAGTTTGTAGGAGGTGATGGGGAGGAGCGGGTAATCCACTGAATTTCTCTCATTGAGGGAAGTGCAGTACAAATATTCGCTGCAGGATGATGGTCAGCCAAAAGTGGTTGGCTTCCAGTGGTTGAGTCGAGTACAAACGGGAATCCTAATGATGCTAGACTGAAGATTCTTTATCTGTGTGTGGAACTGCTAAAAGGCTGTGATGTTTTTTGATGATGCGGGGGTCACTGTGTCTAGTGTATTACTGTTCCGTTCTCCGTGCTTTCAGCCCCCCCGCCCCCGCCCCTTCGTCCATGAGAGGGCGAGGTGGGTTGAAGAGTAGCTGCGGGGGTCAGTACGCAGTGACCAGGTCCTTGTCGTAGTTGTATCGGCCCCTCTTGGGGGTGGGGCTGTCCGCGCTGTCCTCAGTGTCCTCGCTCTCGCCGCCGCCCCCGCCCCCTTCCTCCTCAGAGGACGAGTCAAGAGTCAGATCCACCACCACTCCTCCGGGCGGCGCGGCGGGGCCCGCACTGACCCCGCCCGCCGCCGCCGCCCCCCGGGGCCAACTTACGACTTTTTTTAATCACTGCTCGAGTGAATTAAGAAAATGGGTGTGGGAGGCTGAGAGTAGAGTGGAAGATTTCCCAAGTTGTTGGGATAAGCCCTGGCTGCAGAGCGGAGACCACGGAGTGGCTGAATGTGGGTGTCGACCTCAACGTTTCAATCTGCATGCCCAACCACTCATCAATCCCACCCGCACACCCATCCCCCAACACCTACACGCACACTGCATTCAAACCACTCCAAATGATCCAAAACATGTTCTGGGGACATCTTTCAACCACAACTTTTGAGCTCAATGGCCGAGACATTCAGAACTGTCATCGAATCAATTTTCAGGTTCTTTACAAAATGTCTGTTTTGTTGACTTTCGTCAAATGTTTAGCTCCACCCACATTTAGTCCAACCTTCATCTACCCCCACCCCCAAAAACTCTTCCCTCGAGCACTATTCCAAAAACCTTCCCCAACCCTGAAACATGATTTCATCCAGACACTCTGGGTGGATTCTCAACCCTCTGAACTCCTATGAATGATTCAAACTCATACTAACCATCAACCATCAAGGGAGTGCGCCCTCTAGTAGGGACGTGTAGTACTACATCCCACTCATTTCTATGTGGGGACATCTTTCAACCACAACTTTTGAACCCATCGGTCGAGACATTCAGAAACGTCATCAAATCAATTTTCAGGTTCTGAAATGGCTGTTTTGTTGACTTTTGTCAAACGTTTAGCTCCACCCACATTTAGTCCAACCTTCATCTGTGAACTTCGCTTTGTGTGCATTTTGGGAAAATCTGTGCAATGTGGGAATATACAGTGAGCGTTTTCCACGTACACATATCGACCAACGAGTACTCAGGCGTATCGCTGCGTTCTCTTTCTTTTTCCTTCTCCTTGTCGTCGCTGATTGGTCGCCAAGAGCCATCGGTGAGGTATTCGATCTCCTCGATTTCCTCGCTTGTCTCTTTCAAGATCTCAGACAACAACCTGAAACACACACGCATGGTCATCATGGGTGAGCCTAGTACAGATGCAGTGCTGCACATCGTTCTAGCTTAACGAAGTCAAACAAGCATCTGACACGGTGGGCATGCTACCAAATTGTTTGGTGAAAAATACGCCTCAATAGTTCAGAGTTCACACTGTCAGCATGTGAGATTTTGTGGTACCTCAAAAGACATCACATCTGTTGACTCGTACACTTTGGGTTTTTGGCGACACCTATTTTCCAAAGTCCCGATTTGAGGCGGAAAAACAAACAAAAGTGTGTAATTTGTGATTGTATTCCACAAAGAGTCAAAGTCATAGGTGTATGTATACCAAATCAAATAGTCTGCATGAAATTTAACTGTAAATATGTCACCAACTCCCCATACCGAGTTGTAGATCTCTGTTCCCTTATTCCAATCGTGCCAACAAATCCTGTCTTAAAACCACAAGTATTTTTATTCAAAACATGGCATTTTTATTTTGTTGTCATAGGAAAATGAGCTCAGTGGCATGAGTACGATATAATTTTGAGTTTTTTTTTTTTTAAAAACCACAACCCAATATAAACTAGCTTGAAGAAACGGGTGATTAATCATCAGTTCTGTAGTTGAGGGAAGTATTAAGAATATCGTAGAGTTTTTCAAATGGGCACAACCTTACCCGTCTATAGTGAGCAGCTCAAAGGGCGCCGGCTTGTCACACACGGGGCAGGTCCATGTGGGCTTCTTTTCATTCATCTGCAGAAAGAAGACTGCGTCGAAACACTGTAGATGGGCGCAGGTCAGAACTCGACATGGCACACCGATGCGCATCTTCACCAGCTGAGGAGAAAAAAAAGTCTGTTAGTAATTGTGGCCATTGTTCATGGAGCATGTTCAATTTTACATTGACTTTCGCATTCACTCTGGCGTTTTTTTTTTAAAGCATGTCTATTTGACGATACAAATTGTCATTTTTTTGTTGTGTATCTTAACAGTTAACTCACACTGGAGTGTCATGAACCAGTTTCAAGTACCGGTACACTCAGGAGGGCAGAATAAAATACATGTCACACCATTGCTCACATTAATCATTTCGATTATGTTTTTGAGAAGAGGCCAATCAATTCAATTTCGATTAATCGCCCGGCAGATCCCATTTATGTAAAGAACAATACTCACTGGACAAATAAGAGAAACCCTGAGGCCCGTAGTGGCAATCTCACTCTCTGGGTCAAACCGTAGCTTGTCTTGAACTACAAATAAATACATGTACGAGCATTATAACTCACAATTTTGGCAAAAGTTCTTCAACAGAGGAAGATCAACACTCACTGCGCTCACGACAGCGCTCCGCGCTCTCAACAGAGCAGAGTTTGAGCTGGCTGAAGAGGTCCGACGCAGTGAACATCCTCACTAAATACACTGCTACAGAGTAGCGCTGAAAGCACACGTTCAAAAGTCATATGAATACACGACAATCAACAGTGGAACGGAAGTCCTCGTGAACAGGGCGTGAGTCGATGCCAACCTTGCCGAAGTTTCCCCAGGTGACGGTGATTCTGTTGGTGACCGTGGAAAGATGCAACCAAGGAGTAATGTTAACAGGGCGACAAGGACGGCGAGGTTCCACGCCAGGCTTGTTAGAGGGGTAGTAGCCCTGAAAAACAAATGACAATCACTACACTGTTCCAGAAAACGTTTCTGGAAATTATTGCCCGGATTCGATTATGGGTGCTTAAATAAACATTAACGTTGGTCGTTAGCCCAGAAATAATTGAAACACTGCAATATTTAGGCTCTCTCTCCTACTACAGTACCAAAGCTCCTTTTTCACTTAGTTTTTGACAAAGAAACAGTGGCTTTGTTTTATAAACAAAGCCACTCATGTTTCTGTAGTATATTATATTGTAACTCACTGGGACATGACAGTAGGACTGGTTGACTTTGACGGCGATGTTAGGAGGATACTGGTCCTCTTGAACCCCAATGGAGTCTGTGTAACATATTCTGCAACACAGAAAACATTCCCAAAATAAGAATGAAACTAAATCTGCAGAGTGAAAAAGAATGATGAAGTGAATGATGATAAGTATGTGGTGCCTCAGAGTATTTTAACTACCTGAAAATGACACCTAAAGTGCTCAAATTCAATGGCAGTTGATTCTTACCTAAGAACCACCTGGATTGATCTAATTCCCGGGCGAATTTCACTGCAATAAACAAAGGCCACAAGTTATACCAGACTCAAGGGGGCAGGTAAAAAAGAAAAAAAAATAGAAAAAAGGATTGTTCGGAAACGCTCCACATTCCTACCTTGCGTTTCTGATTTGGTCTGCTTGACTTGGTGTTAACTCAAATATGCACTGACTGTCTTGCAGTTTCTCGTTATTCTGGGCAACTGTCATAACACATCAACAGGAATACATCAACCACAATTATTCATTACGTCGTATCTCCACAAACAGTAGCCAGCAGCATTTTTATTCTGCCCTCCTCAGTTTTACTGAAGTACAGATGGGGAGAGACTTGGCAGGTGTTAACAGTTTAACAACCCTCTTGACCAATCAGCAGAGGACATTAGGAGGAAAATTATCAGTGTTAGGGAACAGAGATGCCGTGCCAATAGATATCAGCTCAACTGTTTGTTCGACCGTGATTTAAAAATATTTATACTACTTCTACGGCACCACGCAAGTGGCGGAGACGGGAGCCTTGGCCCCTGACTGATCGCCGACTGGCTTGACAGCTCACAAGGGCCATGCACTATAATGCTGTGACATAAGGTGATGGTATTGAATGAATGGCACGACAATTGGCCTCAGGCTCTCATCATGATATCTCTGTTCAAAATGCCATCAATAAAATGCACCCTAACACCCCCCTGCCCGTAACAGAACCCCAATGCTCCCCGAGTCCACTCGATCCACAACGTTGTCATTAGTAAACCGCTCACACATATGACATATACATGCTATTTGCCATCTGCCCCGAATGGTGAATTCACCCGTGAGTGCCAGACATGATCAATTGTGAGGATTTGCCTTCTTAAGAAGGTTAGGATGAGAAACTGCAGTCATGGCAAATGAGGTTGATGAGCAGTCAAATGAACTTCTCTGTGACGGTTTCTGACAGTTGGTGCAGAGATTGGGCAAACCGAATGTTGCAGCAGCACTTTGTTCGAGGTCCTGGGTTTGAGTGGTTACTAGGGATGCATGATCACTATCGAACAGATAACTACTGGATTGATATTGGGAGGAAAATATGACATCACATTCATAGGTCCGATTGTAACAAAATTGGATCAATAAGAGTAGCCTTGAATACATAAACATTGTTCTGGTTACTTCAGTGACAAAATACTGTTTTATCGATCCTGTTTTGTTGCCATTGGACCGATGAATGTGATGTCACCCCCCCAATATCAGTCCAATAGTTAGCTGTTCCACAGTGATCGTGCATCCCTAGTAACAACACAAGCCCAGAACCCCGAACAAGCTGAGCAGTGTATGTAACGGATCAAAGCGTATACTCACTGAGCTCTGTAGGTGGAAGCAGTGTTTCCAAAGTCTGATAGAAGGGCAGCGGCACCAGTTTGACCTCCGGTGCTGGAGTGGCCATTGGTTTGGTAATGCCGTTGAGGTATTCAGCCTCCTGAGAGGTGGCAGACGGGGTCGAGCTGAGGGACGAGTACGAAACCGGGATGCCCTCCGGGCGCCGTGCTGCCAGCCAGCCAGACGTTCTGGGAAAGCGCGACTCGTACAGCTGCCGCACGTTCTTGAGCAGCTCAGGGCTGTATTCCGTCTGGACCAGCCTTAGAGCCCGGCCCACCAGGTCCTGCTTTAAGCCGCTCTTGCTGCGGCCCATGGAGGCCAGCAGCCTCTGCAGGTCGGAGACCCGGAAACTTTTGACCATGTTCTGGATTGAGAACAAAACATAAGGAGAGAGATTACATGACTGATGAAAACAAGAATTTCTTTGATAGTCCTCACATTTTGTAAGAGAGTGCATTTGGCTGCGCAAAATGTGAATGATTGAACCTGTGAGGCAAGTCTTTTGAGCAAAGGAGAACGTAACATATAACTGAACAGTTTTAACGATTCAAATTTGCCCAAACAATTTAAGTTATTTTTCAACATGTTGGCACTAAAACCTTTAACATTGTGAAAGCTTGGTTCGACAAAACGGACTCAAAGGTAATCAACACAAAATCAACCTGCTTTGACACTCGGGCTCAAACAATGAATCGAATAAGTATGACACAAAAAAGTCAAAGCAAAATCTTTGATACAGTCGACGAGGCACTTTTGTTGATTGAACAAACAATAAAGGAGAGGACATTATGTTCAGTGTTTTCTCTCTCTCACACACACAGTGCACTGTCTGGCTAAGAGCCAACTACACTCTTTCAGTTTTCACTCAAAAGTCCAGGCTCTGCCTTTTATAGCCACACACATTCAAAGTCACAGATGCTGCAAAGTCAATGTGGAAATTGTGCCCCCAAGTGGACAAGAACAATACCTGCATCACACATGCACATTTTATATTACCATCATAATGCAAATTTTATCTGAGGACTTGATGAATATATGGTGATCAAGAGAATGGCTGATTCTAAAAATATTTAATTGCAGCAGCCCTACTTGAATGTAATTTTTTTTTATTTTTTTATTTTTTGCACTCCAGCATTCTCACAGCACAATATGGCAAAGTCAATGCTAATTATACACAATTTATCATGCACAGTTTTGGTCAACTCTTGTAAGAGTTATAAAAATGAATATTTCAACTAAAATCTTGCCTGCACATTCCGTAAAACAGCTTGACCCTGGCACCGAGAACCATAGAAAAGAATTCAACGTGACAGACAAGAGCGTTGTTGCTCGCAAGCAACAAGTGCATATCACCTCGCCACGCAGAACAATTTTACCACGTAGGGGCTCATGCAAATAGCATATAATTAATCTCTGCTCCCACTCAATTTGTGGATGAGTCTTCAAACGTTACAGGTTCACTTTATTTTCTTCTACAACCTCTCTATGCTTGAAAATGTATGTTACTCACCAACAGATGCTACAGCACAGTATAGGCGTCAAGATTAATAATTTCAAGCCATTGTTCAATTTAAAGTTACCGAAATCCTCAGCCTCATAACAATCAACAGTATTTCTGACACGATACAGACCAAAGCAGGAAGTGAATCATCATCAATTTATGGGAAAACTAACCTGTGGTTAGGGCTGTACGGTATGATGAAGTAAAAATGTAGGCTATTTTCGATAATATAAATGAGTCCAAATGTCAAAATCAATTGGTCACTTCTACGAGAACATGAAAATAAAGCAACAACACGTCACTGAGGTCTTTTTCCACATTTCCTTGGAGCTAGTCATAGTTTTGGCATTTCGGTCAGACTGAACATTAGCACGGAGAGAGACGTCAAAGACGATTGGCTAGTAGTGTCCAAATCTGTCTACAGGCAAATTCATACCTTCCATTGACGACACTGTTTACACCGCAAACCTCTTGCGGTAGTATGAATAACCTGCAACTGATATGTAGTTGAATTTGAAGCAAAGTCAATTAAAATTTTAAAAATAAATAAAACATCTGCTGTTACGTAATTTGAGAACATTTATTTTGCAGGCCTCAAAAGTCAGAATCAAAACTCAGGACTCTACTGTGAAAACAAACAACATTGCTGATGTTGTAAATAGTTTAGATTACTTTTCTATTATTCCACTTGTCCGACGTACGGCATAGCGTATCGTAATTCATTTCTGGTTCTGTTAAGTGAGTAGTTTGAAATCATGAGCTGTTTTGGAATATAGGTTGTTTTGGAATATAGTATGCTACTCATGGATTATTCAACAGATTAATTTAATAACAAAATAAGCAGTTGTTGTCACCCTACTTCATTTCAACTAGCTTTCCGGAACACAAATTGAATAACACAAACGTTTGGGATAATAGAGCAATTTTCAACATGGGAGAACAATGATAAGGCCATGACAACACTGGCGAACTTTGTATATACAAAAACAAAAGGGTAAAAAGTGCACTGAAACGCACCCTTGTGACGACTCCAACTTCTCGTACAATCATGCGCAACATCACTTACCTCCAACGCAACGTACAAGCCAGTGAAAAGCATTCATCTCCACATTGAAATATTACATGCGTTGCCTGTGGCGTAGGTATTATGTTACTTCCTCCATTTCCCATACAAATACAAGCAACCAAGGGGTGTTTACATATAAGCTGTTAGCAATAGAGGTGCTAACTCGACAGCAGTGGGTAAACAACGTTGACATACGGACAACTAACAAGCTGCAAAAGCAGCCTATGGTTGTTCTATTTGAGGAGAAAGGAACACAGTGTTTGGTCAATCCAACGCGACCTCACTAAACATTCTCAATAGAGGCTATGTTGCTAGCCGGCTAGCTCTGCTGGGAAAACTGCCTTTTCGGTGCTCAATCATGGCAAGCGAACGTTTTGACAGGTGCACAGCTTGGCAAACTAAGCGCGCATCACAAGAGATAATATTAGCTTCAAGCGATTCGAAACGCATGAAAGTGTGATTGCACAGACACCTCAAGTGCGCTCGGCTGGCCATCATTCATTTTCGGCATCTTCTTTGGAGCCAGCGTGATGCTAGGAAGCTAACCCTTTCGTACTTGCTAAGTTAACTAGGTAGAAAGCGACGTTAGCAACAGAGGCTAGTCGCTTTCGACGCGACCCTGTTACGCCACATTCGTGACAGTACGCGCTTTAATGTCGTTTTCACACAAAGCCGCCGAAACTCTCAGCGTCCGCGCCGGGTGTTGGGACGCACACTCTCGCGCCCGGCTTCCCATCAAACCAAAGCGAATGAGGCTCTACTTGCCATCGCCTCCACCAGTTCGGCCGCCATCTTCACGCAGCAGTACCGCGAGAGTCCCCGCCGACTGCTAGTCTTTCACCAATGGGGCGCCCAGCTGGCTCTGACTGACAGTTCCTTTTGGCCAATCGCGGAGTGGTACTCACTGGGATCTGAAGCACTCCTTTCTAAATGGGCGGGACCAGCGTGTTTTAAGGTTACAGTGTAACTTTTTTGGAAATACTCAGAGACGGGTCTCTTTTCCAAATTAGGCCGCGTGGCCCACTCGTGACGTGACCCCTGACAATAATCCGATGTTCACGGTTATACGGGTTAATAATGTCGAGGTTTGGTCAAAGTGGGTCACTGATTGGTTTTGAATCCGTCATGGATGGAAAGCGCGAGATGTCAAGTGGATGAGGTCGCATGGTGCGATGGAATCCCGTCCGAGCTCCAAAATCCACTCCGGGTTCCGGAAATGTGGACTCGGCGCTTTGTCTTCGATGCGGCCAACAAGCAAAGACAATGCACGCAATTAGCAACGTAACGTTTATTTAGTCAACATTCAATACGTGCCACCGAGTGCTTAAACTCATATTTCAAGTGGCGCCATGTTTGTTACCCCAAAATGAATTCCTTGAGAACCGAAATTTTATCCATTCCCTTTGAAGATCCACTCCTGGTTTTTAAACAGCACGTGGCAAATATACCCCCTAGAGTCCCGCGAGCTAATCAATTGATGGAATAGGAATATCACGTCATGACATCCTGTGCTTTGTTTTGCCATTACCCCACGTCGGAATATGTCAATAAAGAAACGCTATTCTTTCAATGGTCTGACGTTCACATGGTAGAGCATGAGCAAGTGCTTTATGTCTCATATTTATCATTTATTATGTCTAGTCTTCTCTAGAGAGAGTAATTCTCTCAGACGTGATGGACCATATAGATGTGCAATTTGTACAACGATGACGATGGACAACGAGCGACTAAAATTGGCTGAGAAGTACTCTTCATGTTCCTCATTTGAAACAGAAGAGGGCAACATGGTCCAATTCATCATTGCGTGGCATCGTAAATTGTCTGTACAGTTACCACGGGAAATGCAGTGATGAATGCAAGTCAAACACTGCAACCATTTTACAATTCGTGAGCTCATCAAATAAATAGAGACAAATATAAGTATGTATAGTTTATTTATGTTTATATAACACTGATGATTGTAAAGTGTCCTTGGGTATTTTGAAAGGCGCTTATAAATAAAATGTATTATTATTATTATCACGAAAGGACTCACAAAGTGCTTTACATGGTTGGATACACAAAACACATTTAATACAAGAGAAATACAATGAAGAATCAAGTCTTACAGAAAATAGACACACCCAATTCCGATGTAGTTTTGATGTTGTGTTCAACATAAATAAATACAATACAATGATTTGCAAATCATGTACAACCCATATAATTGAATACACTACAACAATGAGATATTTTAACGTTCAAACTGATTAACTTTATTGCTTTTCGGAAACAAGCTTTATCTTAGAATTTTATGGCCGCAACACGCTTCCAGTAAAACTGGGGCAGGTGGCAAAAAAGACTGAGAATGTTGAGGAAAGTTCATCAAACACCTTTTTGGAACATCCCAAAGATGAACAGGCTAGCTGGGAACAGGTAGGTGCCATGCATGGGTAGAAGAGGAGCTTCTCTGAATTGCTCAAGTCTTTCACAAGCAAAGATGGGGCGAGGGTCACCTCTATGTGAACAACTGAGAATAGTCAAACAGTTTTAAGGTCAATGATCCTCAACATACAATTGCAAAGAATTTAGGGATATCATCTACAATCCATAATATCATGGAGAGGTTCAGAGAGTCAGGAGAAATAACTTTTTTTAATGTCTCTTGGATAGGTTGTGACCGTGAAGTGAATTACGTTGCTCTTCGTGACATGTGCATTGAGAATACATTTCGCTAAATTTGACTCCATTCCATTTCATGAAAACACCAGTGCTTACCACCAAAATAACACCATACCTTGTGTGATGCATGGTAGTGGCAGCATAAAGTCTTGGCTTTATTTTTCTTCAGCTGGTACTGCGGCCTTATTCAAGGTGAAGGGAATTACAAATAGTTCCCTATACCAGTCAGTGTGTCTGGGAAAAAAAAAGACCACAATTGTCAGCAATTATAGTGGTCTGCATTAAAAAAAAAAAAATAAGTATGACATATTTTCCAGATCAATTGTTCACACAGGATACACTCATTTTGCTCCATATGCTCCAGTTTTTCTGTTACGCGCTACGTGCTATTTATTTATTTATTTTTTGTTTTTTGGCAAGGGTCGTTTTGCTAGGCTAGGAGGTAGTTTCTAGCAAGTCACGTTAATGGTGGAAAAACTTTAATTACTGCTCCATTGTAATTGCAGTAAGTCTTCGGACAGCCTCCCCAACTGGACAAAACAACTTTAACAGGATAACAGTGGCATCTAAAGGCCCTTTGACTCTACAACATGCATCCCGTGCGCTCCGTGTCTCACGCAGTCCTGAGTGTTTAATCTCCCGTAATTACACAGATTTGCTTAGGTTAATAAAAATAATCCGCCTAAATTGAGACCCCCTACCTCGACCTCCCCTGTGCCTCCTTTGCCCCTTTCTGTGAGGGATCAATTTGCCGTCATATAAATAGTGTGAAGCCCAACTTTGATTTAGGAGCATAGCGGAAAGCCGGGCTAGCCGAAGAGGTGCCGACGCTTTGCGAAAATTCGGTGTTTCGAAAAAGTCGCCGCGTTTAACCTCACAGACTGACGTCATTTCCACGCCGTAGAGATCGTGTTGCCGATGAGCGCATCAAGGTTAACGACAGTTGAGAGGCTCATCTTTATCTGTGATCTTGTCAACGCTACGACTCGGACGAAAGCAGCCAGGGGTGAGATATCGGGCCATGCTGTAAAAGCCCAACTTTTCCAAAGACCGCAAAGAATTTTTCACGTCTCATCTCAAAGGTACAATTTGTCAGTCATGAGTGCCAGTTATTTAACACCGGAGATGACGACGGAAGACAGGAGCGGCCGAGAGCGACTCGGACTGAGCTTCACCATCGACTACCTCCTGTTCAACAAGGGAGCCAAAGATTCGGCGAGAGAAGCGACGGCTGAGCGGACGTTGCTCGATCGTCACGAACCCAAAGAGGTGGTCGCCGTACAGGAGAGGTCAGCAGAGACCGCAGAAAGGGACGTCAGAGGAGAGGAGGGGGATGGAGAGCAACGAGAGGAGGGGGAGGAGGAGGTGACCACTACCACTATCGCCACGTCCGACGAAAAACCCAACCAGTCGTACATCGCGCTCATCTCCAAGGCCATCCTGGCGTCGGAGCAGAAGAAGCTGCTGCTGTGCGACATCTACCAGTGGATCATGGACCACTACCCTTACTTCAAAAGCAAGGTATCAGCTCCTCTCGCCCCTGAATCAGTGGTTCCCAACCTTTATTCAGCACATATTTTTCATTTGAAAAATCTCACAGCGTACTACGAAAGAAAAAATGCCAAAGTGATCCCAAAATGATGATATGGCTTATTCTGTTGTATGAATGGCACCGGCTTCATTGTACCTTCTGCCCTCTAGTGGAAGAACATTTCATTGTTTTTTTTTTCATTGCGTGTCACAAAATGACGCTAGCATAGATGCTTGTGGATGAACAACATAAATAGTTGTCAACAATCATTTTCAGACCGGTTCCCGCGGCACACCTGATGATCTCATGCACCAGAGAACATCGCTAAACAAACGACAGAAGAGAGAATCGCCAAGGGCTCTTGAGCCATTTTCGCAAACAAAGCGACCTACTTGGAACGAGTATTTTGTCTGAGTGGTTAGACAATTAGGCGCAATCCCTTTGTTGGCAAACTCGCAAATAACGTAATCCGGTTGCTAGGTTGGCATGGCAGATTGAAGGTGGGTCTATTGGATTATGCTCGATCGGCCGGTTTGACGTGCTAAAAAAGTAACGCCGGGTGTCGTGTCTTGTCGAGATCATACTCGGTGTTGACACACCATTCTCACGCGAGTCTTGCCAGGAACGAGGCAAGGTGACATCTCGAAGGAGATCAACTTAACACCCGCTTATGCTCCACTGTTTCGCATTAGTGACACCCCTTTTGGCAATCCTTGTGTCATCGCAGGATAAAAACTGGAGAAACAGCGTGCGCCACAACCTGTCCCTGAACGACTGCTTCATCAAAGCTGGACGTAGCGAAAACGGCAAAGGCCACTTCTGGGCTGTCCACCCATCAAACTACAAGGACTTTTCCAACGGGGACTACCATTGCCGGAGGACGCGACGGAGGGTCCGCAGGGCGGCCGGGCAGCTCCTCCTCTCGCCCCTTGGCTCGCCATACCAAGTCAACCACCACCAGAGGGCGCCCTGCTGGTGCTGCCCACAGGTCCACTCGCTCCCTTTATCCTGCTTGGCCCCCAGACTCTTCTGGCCTTGGTCCAGTGGCCAAGTGTCAGGCTTCCACCCTGGTCTGCATGTCTCTGGACCTTCAGGTTGAACCACTAAAATTTAGCGGGATTAGGATCAGTTTGGCACTGATTCACTGGAATTTTAGGCTGAGATGTGTTTATGCTATGTCACTATCGGACCCTGATATCTGTGCAAGTTAAATTGTGTGTAGGACAATATGAGTTAAACCAAAAACGCATTATCCAAAGTGATTGAAAAGTACTTATGTTATTTTTTGTCTGTTCTTTAATTCATGATAATTTAATATTTATTTTTTTCCTCACATTTTTCATGTCTCTTCTTTAATGTGTGAGAATTTAAATATGGGACGACTTCCGACTGGATTGTGGGTACATTAATTCTTCGCCATAACGTGAATGCGTGGTGAAATCTGGCCTGTTTCCATTGCTGCGGATAATGTTGAAGATTTCATTTTCATGCAAGATGGGCTGCCCATCATTTTGCTACTGTGGATGTTGAATGACTTTGATAGGGAGATTGCTGGGTTGTCGGCTTCACGTGAGTGGCCAGTCAGGCGTCCAGACTTAATAAACACCCGTGACTTTGTTTTTGGTTGTTTAAATGACGGCCTATTGGACCACACCAAAAATTTTGAAAGACCTTGATGGGCAATTACAAGAAGATGTCTTCCAAATAGACAGAAGTTCAATCTATTCAAGGAGGAAACATCCTACTTCTCAGCATTAGTGTTTTTTCTTTTTTTTTTTTGCTATATTTTATGTGGCCCTCATTTTTTCTCTGATGCAGATCACCGACCAATAAAAAAGGAGCCCCGGAAATGAAACATTTGCACAATACTGTATGCTGTTTTGTAAATGACCAAAGTTAACAATTGCACTTACCTGTACTTCTTTTTTTAATAAAACATACAAACTGTTCGGTTAAGGCAATATTATATTACAATAATTCGTTACATTGCTATCACTGTGTGTGTGTGTGTGTGTGTGTGTGTGTGTGTGTGCGTGTGTTCGGATGGTACGAAAAGTGAGCCCGATGCTAACACCGCCACCCGGCGTCACATGCTAATTAGTCAAAAGCTGTCGGGATGCAAAATCTCCTGCTGCATAAGAGACCCAAATCGGCGGCTGGGGCCGGGAGGGGTGGGCTCTCCAAAGCCGACCCCTGAGTGTATGAGGCCGGATAATCTGGACAATCCCAAGCAGTTTCAAGAAATAGGAAGATTATCACACGCCGTAATCCGCCACCACTGCTGAGAAAAGGGAAGGATGGAGAGAGGGGAGGTCACTAATTAATTGGGGAAGTTGGACCATGATGAGGAAACAAGATGAAGCAAAAGCACAACACTTATGGTGAGTTATTGTGACAGTAGTTCAATATTTGTGTCAGAAATATCGGGAAACGCCAAGAATTGTTGATTGGAATGGGGAGTACACGCATAACTTTGGCCAATGAGCTGCATGCTGCTTCACCAAATCTTAAAAAAAAGACATTATCCAATTTGACAAATCTCAAATCACATGCCAGGATGGTAATCACAAACCGTTTCTTTTTGACAACCGGTTCCCAGTATTTCAATTCCTACCAATCGTTGGCTTGCTTGCCTGACGATTCCGCTTATCAGGTTCTCAAAAGACGCAAAATGAGTGAGAACTTCAGACGCAAGAAGTATGTTTCGGTTCTGAACTTTTGCTACCTGCAGTCAAGGCATAAGCAGTCTAAACGTTGGCTATATTTTACCGGAAAAAGATAACACCGGGTTAAATTCTTATCATTGACATGTGTAAACCGGTTCTGAGAATATAAACCCTTTCCTGGGCTCTCTTATCAAGTTTTCAAACTCAGACAATACATGGCAAATTTTATGACGTCTAAATAGTTTCGCAAAGAAATCCCGCTGCTCATTAAAAGAAGCTTTGCCATACTGATGTCTAACCAATGCCTTTTTTTTTAACTATCAATAGTGAAATTCCTCTATGACTGGCTGTGGTTGGTATTTACATCCACGCCGCCTAAGAGGATTAAAGGTTACGCATTGACTTTTGTCAACTTTGTTTGTCTCGACAAATGATCGAATATTCCAATAAGGCAATATTTGGTGTGAAATTAGATCACATGAGGACAAACAGTACGCATGAGAGAATTGGAAAGGGAAGAGAAAGACGTGTGTTTTGATGAACGTGAAGCACGATGTTCATTAGAACAATGACAAATCCGGCGAATTAATTTTATTTATTTATTTATCGGGGGGGGGGGGGTTGAGAGGCAGGTCCACCAAATCTCCCTATTCAATGTCAAATGCTAATTGGAGACCTAATTTGCTTAATTCCCATGAATTGCGCTCCGCTTCAAATCCTCTTCAATTCACCAGCTTTAAGGCTTTAATTTGGTTGCATATGTTTGCTGTGTACACACACACACACACACACACACACACACACACACACACACACACACACACACACACACACACACACACACACACACACGCACACACACTTACCATAGTTATAACCCCACTGATTAAGCTTTTTTGAATGCATTTTGAATATATTTGCAGGCTTTGCAGATTTACCACAAGGAGTTGGTTCTCCGTCATTAATTTCTAAATTACCGGTACACGCCTATTGTAGAAGAAAATCAAAATACCCATTCATAGTGCCCACAAGCCTTAAAAAGTGCGATGTTACAAAAGGAAGTCATTTTTGTAACCTACTTTTTTTTCTCTGCTTTGCTTCTTAATGTCGTTAATTGTGTTTGTAAATGCTTTGGTGTGTTGTCGTGTCTGCCTGTGTGAAGCACACATTGGGGCTCGCTAGTGTATAAGATGTGTTGTATAAATAAAAAATGGCTTGCCTCGCCTTAGACTTTAAGTCAACGTGTTTAGTAAGTTCACAATTCTCATTCAATTTCATAAATAAACTGGATAAAGACTATATTTATTGTTTTTCGTTAAAACACGGGAAGAAGACCTTGAAATATTATCATATAATAAATCACAATCACAACATTTAGGGGCAAAAAATTGCCTTTATTCAAAAACATTCAGTCCCATTGTGATTATAGTTGAAGTTTTTTTTTTTTTTGTTTTTTTGGTCACAAGCTCAAAGGGCCTCATAGAGTTCTTCAAGCTGCAGCTAACCTGTTGTCATAAATTTGCCGTGCCTTGAAATCAACCGGTTTCAAACAATAACGTGTAACTACCTTTGAAGACAAATGAGGTCAGGTAGTCTGCGTGTGTGCGCGCGCAGGCCATTTTGTTAATCTAATGAGATGGGCGGAAGGGTGCAAGGGGTGCATAGATTAGTGCCCAAAGATGTTCCTGATTAGCTGAGAAGAGTGAGCTAAGAAGATCAGCCCCGCTGAGATGGCGATGAAACAATATGGCCGTGTTTTAATGCGCAGCATTCCAAGGCTGATTTCCTGTAGTTTGACCACACGCAGAACACACATGCAGAAGGCGCAAAATGGACAAAACCAGGCGCCATCAGGTATTATATCTAGTACCTGGTCAGTCAAGGTTCCGAGTTGTCACATTTATTCACAAAAAAAAAAAAAAAAAGCCGCCTTATAATCACATGAATACAAAGTTTAAGGTTACATGGAACACAGTGTACAATGATTACACTGGACAGTGAGCCACATGCTGCTTCACCAAATCAAAAGAAACCACGTGACCATGTGTAACAGCCAGTTCTGGTAAATCTCCATGACTCGTGTTTTGTGCCACAGTCTCCACTTAGCTGTTGAAGCCCATTTGCGCATTCCTCTAAAATGAGTCACCTTATACCGTGGCTAACAGCCAGTTGTTGCACACAAAATATAGTATCGCATTGTTGTTGTTTGTTAGCATTCTGATTATTGCGATCACTCAGGCTTGCATTTCATAAAGCGACCACCACAAATACGCGTCATTGATTCAGGTCAATTTTATCGCAGGATAGAACCGATATGGTCACAAAAACGTGTCTTCTTGGCAGTTTTTGTATTGATAAGGTTCAGAACCAGATTGTAACGCTTTATAGGGTAAGCAATCATCCAGCAAATAGAAAAAAACAAAAGGAAAAAAAAAAGGGGAGAAGAAGAAAATAAACCAGACTTGGTAACTTAAAATTGAGTCCGAATATAATGTTGAGTTATTAAGTATAATAAATTATACCTAAGACATATAAAACAATGATGACACAAAAATATACTCGAACAACAGAAAGTGTCTGATGAATGACCAACAACACAGTGGACTACGGAAGTGATGGACGAAATGTACCCCTCCCCACCACCCACCCCCGTAATATAAAAGGCAGCAGAGTCCAAATTGCCTCCCTATTCGGAAACATGATTGCATGCAAGTAGTAGGGAGCTAGCATTCTTTAAGGCTCCGAGGAGAAAACGAGAAGCAGTCCAACCATGCAGCTGCCATTTTCTTTCTCCTGTCCCGCCACGAACAATAGCCTGTCTCCCTTCAAAGGCCCTTTAATAGTCAATCGATGGCAATGCGAGGCGCCTATTCTGCAGATTACTGTTAACAATAATTTGCCTCCCAGTGCACCGTTACCATCTTTGAAGCAATGTTTTATTGCCTTTTTTTTCCTCCTTCCATCTGCATCTGTCATCCCTCAGGTCCGCTGTTTGATCTCTCTACAGCGGTCCGCATCCCCACGAGCCGCCTTGACCTGTTGATTGACAGCTGCGATCAGACTTATGGTGGGACGAGGCATCGACCCGAGGAGCTCCCACGAGACATAAGCAAGTCTCGTGGGCTCTCTCCTCTCATCTCCTCCCCCACGTTTCCTCCTGCACTGCTGATATCAGAACAGCATGCGAGGACGAGGTCTCTTGCGGCCACTAGATGTCGCAAGAGGCAAGCTAATGCTCTCTCATTCAGTGCCGCCGGACACAACATTAAGTACAGTTAAGGTACACATCTCAAGTACAATTGATAATGCGCGTGACAATTCAGCGTTTTCCAACATTTATTGAGCAAAGGCGTATATTTAATATTGAAATAGAAATAAAAATGTCTCCAATATTATACATGCTGAAATAACTTCTCTTGAGCCTTGGTTTGGAGTTACCACCGTGTGGAAGTTTGGATTCCAACCAGGTTCCAGACTCCCACTGGTGGAAAAACAAATATGCGATTCTCAGCCATATGTGTGTGTGTGTGTGTGTGTGTGTGTGTGTGTGTGTGTGTGTGTGTGTGTGTGTGTGTGTGTGTGTGTGTGAGAGAGAGAGAGAGAGATTTTAGTCCATGAGGCAAAAAGAAAACCCTGACAATTCCCCATCTCTCGTGGGCTGAGTGTTGCCATGGCGATACATCTCCGGCCAGTGCTACTCCCTGCTGACCCCGATGGATGACCTCTGACATTTAGGGCCATGGCAAGGAAGGGGGGGGGGGTGCAAAAGGTCAGCAATGGCTGGAGGGCGACAGGAGTGCTTCCATGATTTGCCCCCCCCCCCCCCCCGCTAGCCCCCTTTTCTTCCATCATTTGCATTTGACCATCAGCCGCAGAAAATTCATCTGACTGAGTCACACATTGCACTTTCGCAGGTAGTGTATGCGTATATGTGTGTACGTGTGTTCCTCGCTCACGGCAAAACAGCAGAGAAGCTCAATATCGTATAAATTTACATTTGATGCTGCTGCAACGGCCTTCTGGGTAAACTGCGCTGATCTCTGCCAGGGTAAGACCGGCTACGGTGATGATTATGATCGCCAGTTGTAATGATCATCACTATATTCCCATGGCCTTGAAGGCTACCGCATCTCATACGCTGGGATATTTATAGCTTCCCGTGATTCTGATTCACTTCTCCTTGTGTGTATTGCCGGACACAGCATTGAGTACAGCTACAAAATCGAACCCAGTGTTTCCCAAACTTTACTGAGCTCACATTAGAAAATTCTCACGGCACACCAACAAATACAAATATCACAACAAGAACAGTAGATAAAGAATGAT